GCGGGCGGCCAGTGAGCAGCTGGAATGCAATGCAGCCGATAGCCCATAGATCGCTGTTGCGGTCGGCTGCCTTGTCGGTGAGCAGCTTCCGGCGACACGTACTCTGCAGTGCCGACGAACGAGTACGCGCGCATGTCGGTCTCGTCCTTGCCAAACATCTTGGCCGTGCCAAAAGTCCGGTCACCAGGATGTGCATGTCGTTGCCGAGTAGAATGTTCTCGGCTTTATGTCGCGGTGGCAGCGTGTGCTCCATATGCATGTACTCGACGGCGACAACAAGCTCCGCCAGATAGAACCGCACGCACTCGTCGGACAGGGCGCCCAGTCTGCGAATCCACGACAGCAGCTCGCCGTTGCTGGCTATGTCGATGATAAAGTACAGGCTGTGGGCATCCTGGAACGCATAGTGCAGGCGCACGATGAACGGGTGGTGGAGGTTGTGCAGCACGTCGCGCTCAATGTTGACGTACTTTATCTTCTTCTCCTTGATGATATGCCGCTTGTCCAGGATCTTGGCTGCAAACACTTTGCCCGTCGCCTTCTCCCTCGCCTCGACCACTGTTGAATACGAGCCCTCGCCAAGCGTGCGCCCGAACTCAAAGTCTGCTACGACCCGCTTCCGTCCTGCCGCAGTAGCTACTGCTGCTGCAGCCGCTGCCGCCGAGACCGGGCTCTTCCTCTGCTGCGATGGAGGCGACTCTGCTGCCGGTGTTGTTCTCTGCGGTGTAATCTCTGGCGTTGCAGCTGCTGCGTTCAGCGCTCGCGTGGTCGACTGCATCGAGTATGCCGGCGAGTCGCCCGCCGAATGAGCGCTCTGACCGCGTCGGCTGCCAAAGTCGATGCACCCGATGACGGTTGCTGCTGTTGCTGTTGCAGCTGCTGCGTGGGCTGTGTTGCGCCTGCAACTGCAAGCCGGAGGTTAGCAGGCTTTGGCGGAATGCGCGGCTTCTCGCGCATTTCGAGCGAATCGTTCAGCGGGGCGGCTGTCATTTCCAGTGTTTGCAAATGGACGCTGTTTCTGTGCCGCTGCTGCTGGCCGGCGGTTATTTGCGTCATGTAGCTAACAGGTGTAGAAAATACGAATAAACTGGGGTTAGCAGGTGTGAGAAAAGAGACGGAAATGGTTTCGCCTGGCGCACACACTCGGCGAAAGGACAGGCGCAATATAAAAGTACAGAGGAGGAATACAGAGCTGGCCAGTTGGGGAGGAGAGCAGCAAAAAACGAATGCTAAAAAAACTCCTGTGCCGTGCCCAATCAAGCCAAGCCCTTGTGCCTTGGCACACTAAGCCCGCCTATCTTTGGCCACTGTGGCGCCGCGCTCTACGGGTCCGCGAAGCAGCACTCGCGCAGTACCGCGCAGCTTACCTTGTCGGGGGATTAGTAGCTGGGCAGCTGGCGGATATGCGTGCAGGGTATGCGTGCAGGATATGTGTATGTAGGAGACTGGTAAACGATGATGGCAGGTGCTTTGTGGTGGTGGCAGCGGGCTGTCGCCCAACACGTGTCCGCTCTGTCGGGTTTTATGCCGGGTGAGGGCGACAAGGCCGTGCTCTGGACACCATCAGCGCACATCGCGAAGGTCACAGCCTAGGCCGTGAGTAATAAACATGAAACCACTGGCGATTTCACATTGCCACACAGCGTCCAGCAGCCCAGGAAATTATCTGGGGAACTTGCACGGCCGTACGAGGCTGGCTTTGGGACCAGCACCATCAAGTAGCAGGGTCGCAAAACATGCCGTACTGGCAGAACTAGACTACACATCGCCAATAGCCTGCCCAGCGTCGCTTGCAAAGTACATCCGTATAATATAATTTTCAGCATGCGACAACCACAAAACGCGTGCAGCCCACCTATCCCTCCTGGCCAAAGTCATTGGTAAACTCTATCTGCTTGCTCAAGTCGGCTTCGTTGACTGCCGGGCGTCTGTTCTTGCCAGCCTTCAAGAAATCAGACAGTGCTAGATCGGGGCTCCACCGGACCCTACGAAGGCTGGCTGGCACAGTGCGTGTGCGCAGTGCCAGCCGCTCAGCCCCATACAGGCTCTGGCAATGAGTGGCTCGAGGCATGATCACGAGGAAAATCAATCAAGAGAGCGATTACCAAAAGGGGGCGATTTTGATTTTTTTGCAGTGTATCAAATGGCCATGTTCGGCCAGCAGACTAAAGTGCAGCCTCTTTTTCTCCAATTTTATTTTACAACAGGTACGCATCGAAAGCACTGGCGATTTAGCTGATGGATTCGAGGGGACGGAGTCGGAGTATGCGCAGCGAGTGTGATGGATACGTCTGCACAGAATGGATCCGGCGCACAGGCAGCAGCAAATTCGGAGGATTTCCTGGTTCTGGCATTTGGGCTAATTCGAAATTCCGCACGGCTGGTGGTGCATGTTCCTTGTGTAGGTTGGAAACAAACGTAGTCAAACATGGGTAGAGTTATCAGAGCTCAACGTAAGGGTGCCGGCTCCGTTTTCAAGTCGCACACCCACCGTCGCCAGGGTGCCGCCAAGCTCCGCGCCGCTGACTACGCCGAGCGCGAGGGTTACATTCGCGGTCTGATTAAGGAGATCATCCACGATCCTGGACGTGGCGCTCCCCTGGCTAAGATTCAGTTCCGCGACCCGTACCGCTTCAAGACTCGCACTGAGCTGTTCATCGCCACTGAGGGTATGTACACTGGCCAGTTCGTGTTCTGCGGCAAGAAGGCGCAGCTCGTTGTCGGCAACACCCTCCCGATCGGTGAGATGCCCGAGGGTACCATCATTTCCAACATCGAGGAGAAGCCCGGAGACCGCGGCACTCTTGCTCGCACCTCGGGTAACTACGCCACCATCATCGGCCACAACCACGACGAGGGTGTCACCCGCGTCAAGCTGCCCTCGGGCAACAAGAAGGTCCTGAAGTCTGGCTGCCGCGCTACCATTGGCATCGTCGCCGGTGGCGGTCGTATTGACAAGCCCATCCTCAAGGCTGGCCGTGCCTTCTTCAAGTTCCGTGCCAAGCGTCACTCGTGGCCTCGCACTCGTGGTGTTGCTATGAACCCCGTCGATGGTCCCCATGGTGGTGGTAACCACCAGCACATTGGTCACGCCTCGACCATTGCCCGCTCGGCCGTCCCTGGTCAGAAGGTTGGTCTCATTGCTGCCCGCCGTACCGGTCTGCTCCGTGGTACCAAGAAGCTCAAGGATTAAGTGTAATCTTGCTTTTTATGCCGCACTTACCCCCTGTGAATCACAAGCTGTTTTCTGTCATTGGAGAAATATATACTGGTTCACGTCAAATGTCTCTTTTCGGTAATGTGCGCTACTTGTCGAAGGGGTTGCGTCCTGCTGTGTGATCCAGTCAGGCTAGTGCGTGTATGATACGAACAAATTTACCCATTTGGGGTAGGCTACATATTGATTTCGACTGCGATGTCTGTACGCACGGTAGCACTGCTTTCAGCTTCAGAGTAAACTATCTATTGTGTTCATTGCTGCAATTGGTGATGTGTGCTCGTCCGCTGACTTGGCGCCTTTAGGTGTGTGGATGGTTTCGTTTTTAGCTAGCGCTGTTTCAAGTCGGACTTGATCGTTATCGGGTACCGTGCCATAAGAGAATAAGTGCATCCAGGTACCTAGTTGTATTCAAGTAAATCCAACTCAGTAATACTGGAGGATGGTTGTGGTTCACCCAGAAGGATTGTGTCAGGCTCTGTGCTCAGTCCAACTGGGACTTCATAATCGGTCTCAGCCATGGCCTGCTTAGTTATGCAGTGTGTAAATGATTCATGCTGAACATCATCATACAGTGGTATTACAGCTGAACCTTTAGATGATATTGCTAGCGTTTTGACTGCCTCAACGACATGAGCGATTTATCTATTGACAGTTGATGATCTAACAAATGGTCCAATGGTAATGGATTGTACCTATCCCATATCTGGTGGTTCAGTGCCTATGCTTCACATTTGTCTAATGGAGGTCATTCAGAGCTAGTTATCTACACAACAACTATTTATACATGTTGAAACTATTGGCAATTTCAGTGAAATAAAAATTTCACCCAAACTGCCATCGGCATCTTGGAAAAGTTTCAGTGAACATAATTTCCTTGTGGTTGCTTAGCCACATCTATTGAGATATTGACTTTTGTTGCCCAATGATAATTAACCCCAGATATGCAAAGTTTTTCTTTCTGGTTGAAATTATGTTCACTGAAACTTTTCCAAGATGCCGATGGCAGTTTGGGTGAAATTTTTATTTCACTGAAATTGCCAATAGTTCCAGCATGCATAAATAGTTAATGGGCAGATAAGTATCTCTGCATAACCCCCAATGGATTGTCTAAATATATCTTCTAGGGCTGTGATTAAGGAATTTCTTCTTGATAATGGAATTAGTAGCAATGATATTCTTGATGATGAAGATAAAGTTGGAGCAAACTGTATTAGCTGGTTTACTGATGAAGATGAAATAAGAATTAGGAACAAGTTGTACAATAAATTTGTTCAACTTCTAGAAAGTGGTGAGGTTCACAATCAACTTACTTCTAAGCTATCAGAGCTAGTGATGCCAACTTCTCAGCAATTTGGTGAAACACTTGTTGCTTGTAGGAATGAAGGATTAATGAGGCTTGAGCTTACTGTTCACTCTCCTGAGTTGAAAGAAGTAGAATGGAACACAAACTTAATTGCTAGTACACTGGAGTTTCTTAGTGATTGTAGGACATTTGCAACATCTTATGAAAAGCAATGGATGGCACTAGTTGATCAGATTCATAACAAACATACATTGTGTATTTACTTTCATAAAGAACATGCTCTTGCTTATTGCCATTGGTTCAATAGGACAACTAAGAAGAAACAAGGAATAGCTAAAAAGTTGAAAGAGAATGAAGATATGATGACTGTTGTTTCTAATCTTACATTTAATGGACACCCAACTCTTCTTCTTACATATGCTACCAGTAGTGGTCCTCTTGAATCTGAAGTTGTTCTGAGAAGAGATATCACAAACATCACTATTGTTCCTAGTCAGAAAAATTCTTTCTGGCCTGTTGTTTCAAGAGAAAGGCAACAACACACATTTGCTGAAATGGGACTTGTTAACTATCGTGGAATGCATATTGATTGGTTAACAGCTCAACAAGCAAGAGAGAAAGTTTGTCTCTCAACTCTCTCAAGTATTAGTGAGGATACTAATGACCTAGGAGTAGATGATCTTATTGCTGATATTAGCAACATTGAACTTGATGATCTAGAACCCACATATATAAGAGAAAATACTGATCTTAGGCCAGCTAGATATAAAGTTGCTTATAACATACTTCATATTGGAGATGAGTTCCTAGTTAGTCATTATTTCTTATATACTTTTAGAGGGTTGCTATTCTACTATCTAGATATCTATATGATTCACAATGAAGTAGTTAGCAGTACTCACACTCATATCAAAATACAAGCAAGTAGTCCATTTGGAGAATATATTGCTTCTATTATTGGTGAACCAAGTCAAGAAGTAGTACTTAAAGTAACTAGAATTCATAATCGTATTATCCATACTGAGAGGATCTAGTTTTAAAATGGGCAGTTAGCAACCATTACCTCCATATCTGCACAACTGTAGTTGCATACATCAAATACATGCTTAATAGTAACACCCCTATCTTCTGAGACATTCCTGATCCAAGCTCTGATATATACTGTTAATTTTCTGCTCATATTGAAATTTTTGCTAAGTAGTTGGACTAGCTTTTCTCTCTCTTCCTCATCTAGCTCAGCAAGTCGAGTATTAAAGAACTTGTAAAATGGGCCCATTGCAATAAATGACAACTTTTAAATTTATGAGTGCCTCACAATGATGAATCATCAATTACAAGAACTCAGAGAAAAGGAATATCACAAACTGTACACAAATAAATGGAAGTTTCTGAATGATGACTAGGTAATTCTAAAACATACAAAATATCACAGAAGTGAAGTTCGTGAAGTAAGAGAAATTAAACTTATCAAGGACACACTTCTTAAACATCTAGGTATGATTCCTGTTTTCTTCTTT